CGTTTTCGCATTGGGTGCGTGCTTGGTGTGAATGTCGCAAAAGTCAATGCGGGGCTTCGGGAAGTCCAGAGCGATTCCCCATACCTTATATAAATTTCATGAATAACAATACACAGAGTAGAATATTATACTGTTCGACTGTTGAAGAGTAACAGATTATAAATTTCCAAGAGCACATCTCATAACCAGAGTAAGTCAAGCAAATGAATAAAGGGGGAAAGTTTCTAAAGAAACTGTGGTGCTGCATCGGTGGGGGTAACAAGGTAATTTGGTTATATCAACTAAGTTGAAATTGTAACGAGTTAAAAAGCTATTTTAAAAAGCTTCTTAACTCGTTACAGTGGCCAATTTACAATTTCAACTTAGTTGATATAACTAAATTACTAAGTCAAGCAAATCCAAATTTATCTTGCCAATTAACCTATTGGAAATTGTAGTGAGTTACCCGCCTTCAGATTCAACACATTTCTGGAGTTAAAAATATTTAATCCAGCAGTCGTAAACGGCGGATCTAACCCAGTTTAATTAAATCCACAGCCTGACGCTGTCTCATTGGATTCAATCGAGTAATTTGGAAAACGGTCGTAATGTGGAAAACGGTGGTAATGGACAACGAAGGAGGACTTATGGTATCCGCTATAGTTTTTGGTGTTGTCACCTACCTTCTGAACACTGGTCGTGGCTTACAAGCCATGAAGTTAGGCGAAGAATGGTTGATCTTTCTAACCTCTAATGCACGATTAAAAGAATACCACTGGTTTTCCCTGGTTTATCAAGCAACAAATAGGCTAATGTTCAATGCGGCATACAAGGTCTCTAATTACACATCTGCAGAAAGGTACGCGAAAGAACTTCTTATCATACATGACGCTTCTGGTGACACACTTAAGGAAGGGGAACTAAGCTTGAAACTGGAACAGATATATCAAAACAAAATGAATTTGAAAAGGCTACAGAATACATTCAAAAGGCAGCTGATATAACAAGAAGTACTGGAGACAAAAAAACAGAGGCACAATGTTCCATGATGAGAGGAAAATTATTGAATTCGCCGTGTGAATATCACAAGGCTGAGGAGTATTACAAGAAAGCACCAACAATCACTGTGTCAAATGGCGACAGAGATAGCAAATTAACCATTTACAGAAACCTAGGTACAATCGCTCAGTCACTTGGGGAATACGACAGAGCTAAGGAATATTACAAGAAAGCACTTGCAGTGAGACAGGAGATTGGCCACAGAGAAAGAGAAGCAGCTGACTACGGAAACTAAGGAACATTGTTTCACTCGCTTGGTGAACACAAAAAGGCTCAAGAATACACCGAGAAAGCACTAGCAATCAGAAAGGAAATTGGCGACAGAAAAGGAGAAGCAGCTGACTACGGAAACTTAGGAACATTGTTTCACTCGCTTGGTGAATACAAAAAGGCTCAAGAATACACCGAGAAAGCACTAGCGATCAGAAAGGA